AAACATGTATGTTTTCTAAGAGATACATTTTTCCATTGCTCTTCATTTATTTTCTTAAGGAAATACTACATATCTATTGTTATTAAATTATTGCTGACAAATGCTTGGGCCACTGGACTTCGTATACTTGAAACCCAAACTAAGTAATTCTTTTTTTTATTTGAAGAGAAAAGAGCTGGGACTCCTTTATTTTATTTGTTTTCCTTAGTTAAGTGTGAAACTCCAGCACTCTCTTTCTAAATAGTAGGTGTTATTTGAGTTCTCTTGGAAAGGTTGCAATTTTGTGCAGTCATTAAATGCACGTCAGTGATATATACAGTTTGTTTTTAAAAGCTCAGTTTGCAGTTTCTATGTTCATTGCATTCGGCCGGGGCTTACATCTTAAAGCACAGCCCAGCTTCTGAGACACTGTTGCCTTCACAGCCATCTATTTCATTGGACCATTAAAGCCTGAAAATTACTAGAGAAAGCATTATCATTTTAATTGGGCATCTTTATCCATGCCTCTACCTGTGCCCTTCTGTATGTTTCTTTCTCAGTGTTAGTGGAATATGAAGTGGAATTTTGTATGTCATTAAGAACACTGAATATTTTGCCCAGAAAAATATGTATATAAATTTCCAAAAATTCATGTTTAAATAGTATTAAATTTTTGTTATTTTTATTTTTATTGATAGCTAACATTTTTTAAATTTCTTCAATACAGAAATTGTGCTAAGCACTTTAAATACGCTGTCTCATTGGCTCCTTGAGCAACACATGGGACAGGTGCGATTATTATCTCCATGCTCCAAGCCACCTTGAGCTTCACCTTAGCAAAATATAATAGTGAGATACATTCTGAAGCAGCTTAGAGGCATCAATAGAAAACCATCTATATTATAAATCCTCACTTGTAGATGCGTATGATGTAACATTAAAGGGGCATTGGAGGAGGGGAAAGCCCTCACTAGAGCACTAAACACAACACAAAGGCCTCTCGCAAACACAACATTCTTCTGCCAAATGTAAAAGCAAATGGTTGCATTGGGTGGTTCTGGCTGCCCATTCGTGGAGCCTGCATAGCCAATTACCCACTTGTGAAGGGTGAGAGCAGTTTGGGTTTCACAAAGGAAGAGCCTGATCCGCAGACCACTTTGAGTCATTCTTAAACATAGGATCTGCAGTTGGTTTGTAAAAATGTATAAATAAAGCTTTGGGTTTGGTTTATGGTTCAGTAATATTTTGAATTTTTGAAAATCAACTTGAAGATAGTGGAGATCTCCAAATCTTAAAATGAAGGTTAAATATTCATGGTGTATATTTCCAGGCAAATATTTGAAGGCATTTTGACTATTTGCTTTTATTAATCTGCATCATTGATTAGGTAGACATTTTTCCAGTCAAGCTAGCTCAGTTCTATGAGATAAAGGATAGACACTTTACCAAAGTGAGTTCAAGGATATGAAGAATAGATGATGCATTCATTTATTTACTCTCTCAAATTTCTTGAACACCCACTGTGTATCTGCTAGTCACATTTTAACACCACCATTCTGTCTTCCTAGCACCTGCAGAATGATAGTAAGTACTAAAGAGGGGAGGCATATAATATGCTCTTAATAATAACTAGTGAAAATATAGTGTTCATTTTCTTTTTCTTCACAGTTTTGATAAATGACTTTGCATAAGTAATTTTAGCAAAAAAATTTTTGCTTATTCTAATGTATATTAATTTATCATATTGGCCCTGGGTGGTGTGGCTCAGTTGGTTGGTGCATCATCCCATATACCAAAAGGTGTGGCAGAGTGGATTCTCAGTCAGGGCACATTCCCAGGTTGTGGGTTCAATCCCTGGCTGGGGCATTTATGGGAGACAGCTGATCAGTCTCTCTCTCAAGTCAATTTTTAAAAATCATCATGTGATATACCTTAAATATACACAATTTTTGTTTTTATAATAATTTATTTTTATTTTTTAATATGTTTTTATTGATTTTTTAGAGAGAGAGGAAGGGAGGAATAGAAACATTGATGTGAGAGAGAACAACTGCCTTCTGCACACCCCTCCCTGGGTGGGTATGGAGCCCACAACCCAGGCATGTGCCCTGACCAGGAGTCAAACCGAGACCTCTCAGTGCATGGGACAACAACCAATCCACTGAGCCACACCAGCCAGGCTAATTTTTTATGTTTTAATTACAGTTGACATACAATAGTATATTAGTTTCAGGTGTACAACATAGTAGTTAGACATTTATACAACTTACAAAATGATCACCTCAATAAGTCTAGTACTCATCTGACACCATGCATAGTTATTATAATATTATTGACTATATTCCCTATGCTGTCCCCATGACTATTTTATAACAACCAATTTGTACTTCTTAATCTCTTTCCCTTTTTCACCATCCCCCAACCTGTCCTCCCATCTGGCAACCATTAAAATGTTCTCTGTACCTATGAGTTTGTTTCTGTTTTTTAGAGTCCATACAGAAGTGAAATCATATGGTATTTGTCTTTCTCTGTCTAACTTATCTCACTTAGCATAATGCTCTGTAGGTCCATCCATGTTGATGCAGATAGCAAGATTTCATTGTAGTTTACAGCTGAGTAATATTCCATTGTATATATGTACCACACTTTGTTATCCATTCATCTATCAATGCCTCTTAGGTGGCCACTGAAAGAAATAAAACATCATTTTATTCGAGATACAAATTATAATCAGTTTTGTTTTTTTTTTAATCCTCACCCGAGGATATTTTTCCATTTTTTGTACAGATAGAGTGGGAGGGAGAGAGAGGAAGGGAGAGAGAGAGAGAGAAACATCGACGTGAAGGGACACATCGAGTGGCTGCCACCCGCACGACCAACCAGGGCCGGGGACAAACTGCAACCGAAGTACGTGCCCTTAGCGGGAACCGAACCCGGGTCTCTCCAGACCGCAGGCCGACGCTCTAACCGCTAAGCCAAACTGGCCAGGGCATAATCAGTTTTTTAAATCTTGTGAGGGTGAGGTAATTTCTTTTCCTTTTTCTTTTTTTAGAACTGTGTAGGGGTTTAAAGCTCTCTACTATCACACAGTATGGGTTTGAGTTCTAGTTCAGTTATTTGTTAGGTGAATTCTTTTGATGTAACACATATACTGAAATATTATAACTGCTTTTCCTGTTTAAACTTCCATCACAAATAGCCCAATTTGGAATAGCCTGGCATATAGTGCCTACATTACACATTGTGACTATTATTGTCTGTATACTTATGATATGAATATTTCAAATTTTTACAAAAATCAAAACTCAACATGAAAAATTATCTGATAGTTGTCATTTAAATTCTACTGGATTGGAAGCCTTTTAAGAGCTGACATGAATATAGATGAATTACCTGTGTTATTCGTTTTGTATTTCCACACTACCTAGCACTGTGCTCCTTGGACAAGGGGGTTTATAACAGTGCTTATGGAGCGGCTGAATATAGGTATAGAGAGAAGGTCAAGGATGCTTCTTTCATGTTGAGGCCAGATTGCTTTATATGTCCCCAAAATGTGTGGGAACTCTCACAAGGTACTGGAGACAGCACATTGTGCTCTGATGGGTCCTTCAAAAAGCTTAATGTCCAAATGAAAGACCACAAAATTTTACCGCATTCTAGAAGGTTTAAAGTATGAAATTAGAATAGGAACAATCTCACAGGTTGTCAGACACTTTGAGTCATATGACTTCATAAGAAATGAAGGTTTATGTTTAAGCTAGTCTTTTAAAGCAGTTAATGCTTTCTGCATATTTGAGGAAAATTATTAGAATAACTGAGCGTCCTGACATGTTATCTTAGTTTATGTAACTATGCATAATACAGTCTTAGTTATTTAATAACTAAGCACATTCCTCTCTGTATCATAAAACGACATGAAGGAAGGGCTAGTGGTCTCTGTCATCTAAAGTTTTGAACTTTGGGAGAAAGGTTTAAAAATATTTGATAATTGTGATTCTATTGAGTATATTCAGAGATAGAGATACTGACTAGATAAAAAATTCAAATGCCACAAGAATTAGAAATGACAGAAATAAAATCATAAATTGGCACTTACTTGAATACCCCTCCAATTTAAAAAATTTTTTTTGGTTTCCATTGAATGTGTGGTGTGTGTAGGTATATAAAACCATAATATAACACCTGAAACAGGGTGAAGTCCCATCAATAATGGCTGCAGTTATATACTGATCGAGGCAAACAGAAATTATTTGGACAATCCAAAATGACTACTTTATTCTGCTGAAGTAGGTAAACTATGGGCCATTAAAAAGACATGCACACATACCCACCTACATACATGCATCTTCACCTATAATATATACGATTAGTCACATTTGATTATTAAATACATTTCTGATTTTCTTTCAATAATAATGTCCATTCTCATTGTAAAATCACAGAGAATTAAAGTTAGCATATCAGGTAAACCATAAAATCAAAAAATAGTACAGAGATCACCAAGACTTGACATTTATACATAAGGATTAAAATTTAAACCATGAAAGATATTTTTAGTTTTATGCCATGGATCACCAGCATGAATCAATGAACAGACATAGTTCTTTATCTTAGAGTTTGGTGAAAAGTAAATTAAAAATAGCAGCGCTGTTTTCTGCTTAGTTATCTAGCTCTAAATTTAAAGTGCCTGATTGATACAGACAGCAGAGTAGGTAAAAAGGAAATTTCCCGACTTAAAGCATCCCTCAAATTAGTGCTCATTTACCTTGTGCATATTTCAAATTCTTTACGTTGTCACAGAATATTTCACACAAATAAGGTTCCTCTGACTGGGATTCAATTCCCTGGTTTTAATCAATTAAAGGCACAGCATTTTCCTCGTCCTATCTCTAGATCAAATATTCCCTCTCAGTGCATCTGTTTCAAATGTTAATAAAGTTTTCATTTCCAAAAGGTTCAAAATGACAGAACAAAATTCTCTCCTTTAAGAGCATGAAAACGACTTCTGTTTCTGTCTGCAGGTAGTGGAGGACATGCTAGAGGACGAGGAAGAAGAAGATGACAGAGATGACAAGGTAATTATCTTTCCCAGCACTTGGGTACCTGGGGATGGGGAAATGTAGACATGACACTGTTTTCACAGACAGTTAAAAAGGGAGTTGAAGTGTTTGAGTCCAGAAAATTGGACAGTGCTGTTTATCATCCTAACAATGCCACCGCATGTTGCAAAGAGGGAGAGAGGGCTATAAATCGTCTTTGCTTTTGTCCAGAGCTGGGTCAAATATTTTTCTGCCAGGAACAAAAAAAAAAATAATTCAGCTTGTCTGGAACTTGATAGCTCTCGTGAAGATAACGGCAGTGACAACTGTTTTTGAAGGGCAAAAATTTGTCCTATCTTGAGTATTACAAATCGGGCTACACTTTGGGGGAAGAGCGAAGAGAAAAAATAGCAGGCTGCATGAGTCGAACATGGATATTGTCATCTGCAATTTCTGAAAAATTGCTCATCAGAAGAACACATGTGAGCGAAGGGCATTTAAATAATTCCCGTGCTGCTGCCCTCCGCCTAGACTTGACTCGGAATGGCCCCGTGGTTCCTTGGTCCAGAAAGTGTGGTCAGAGGCTAGTTTTCTGTTGCTGCTTGGCTTGTGGATGGTGACCACAGTAAATAACAGCTAGTTTCTGGGACTGCTTGGATTGGTTGTCCCCGGGGGAGAGAGCACACTGCAGGGAGGAATGAGAATGCCCTTGCACCACCGCAGCAGCGCCTGGGGTTGGAGGAACAACTTTCTGTGGCACGGAGGGTAGTGATGCTGGAGGATCGTGCTTGGGCAGTTCAGGATCTAAAATCCAAAAAGTCCTAGGGTGAGTTGGGAGGAGGGAGAGAGACTATCATTCATTATTTCTATGTCTCTCGGCATGTAAAACCAGCTTTTGACCTTCACCAGAATCTATCTGAATTCTGTTAGAGTAAAGCAGTGAAATTTTTTTGAAGAAAGGAGAAAAACTGTGTGTCTTAATTTATACCCTTGACCTTTGATTTCAGTAGAGATGTACAGTTATATTTTAGTTGAAGAATTTGTGTGCTAGAAGCAAGCATTGAAAATGTCAAAAAAAAAAACTCACAGTGATTAGTTAACTCCCAAATGATTTTTTTCCTAATATTTAATGCTTCAAAAAAATGGAAACACACACACACACACATACACTTTCTCCCTTCTAATGCGATTTCAAACATTTTTAAATTGATAGAGCTTTTATGTAAAAATTTTCTTATGTACATCATTTAGTCATTATTGATATCATCAGATATAAACTAACAAAAATGTTGTTCCTCCAAAAACATGTATGTGCTTGTTTTTAGTGTTAAATAACATGAGTATCCACGTACGGTGGTAAATGATATGATTTATTGTTAAGGTCAGTGGTAGAGCTGTAGAGAGCTTGTATTTTAACTCAACATGCCAGCTCTGAATCATCATTTCTCTGCTGATCAGCACTGAGCTGCCATCCATTTATGGCCTTTTTCTCTTGCTTGTTGCTGCTTTATTATTAAAGCAACCATAAAGATCCATTCTGGCAGCGGGCGTTACCCCAGAAATGTTAATAAATGGAAACCCTTAGTGAAGTCTAGTACTTCAGTGTCCCTGCTTGAAGTCAGCCTGTATTTTATAGCCAGTTTGTTGATATTCTTTACCACCAATCTCTCCTTTGTGGTCATTTTTTAATAGAGTGGATGTTAACAGTGGAGAATCAATACACACCTGGTTAACCAGCTCACAAAACGTAGATGCCAAGTAGAACATGCTGTGGTGAACACAGTACCAGATCTCTGAGGTGGCATCTTTGTGATCTGGTGTTTGGTTGTCTGAAATTGACACCCCCTCTCTGACACATTTTTAGATCCAGTTACCAAAGATGATTGAAAGGAGCGCTTAAATTATTATGTGCATTCAACTGTATTCCTCTGTACAGGATGCCAACAAACATGCTTTCCATATGAAAGGATTGTGAGCTGATTTTCATAAATCTAGTTCTTTATTTGAATGATATATAAGGAGGTTTTTCTTTTTATTCATAATGTAATTTATAGCATAAAAATTATATCTGAACAAAAAAACCAAAATGTAATAACTTACAATAGACTTTCAGGGCTTGCATAATAGAAGGAAGAATCCTAGAGTGGACATTTTGAAATAAAAAGTTTTAACTCTAAGAAGTAGAAATATGAAAGGATCCTTCAAGTTTCTGTTTACCGGCGTCCATCTCTTGACTAGCTCTCGCGCAGTAATATTGTAAGTCTTGGTTATCAGTGTGTCTGAGTGGGAGAAGGGTAATTTCCTACTTTAAAAAATTCATTGGTTCCTCTATTTAAAGTTTGTGTATAGAGTCACGCATAATGGAATTTCATGAGAAAACAAATGTATTTTTTGCCATACGAGCAGGTACTGACCTCTAGCTCTCATTATTTCTCTGTTTTCTCATATGGTATAATAGTGGGGTCAGGTCAGTGGGTCCTCTTATAGGATAAAAGTAAAAAAGATTAATAAATGTGCCAAAGCCTCACTTTAATTGAACCTGAAGCACATGTTGCAAGTATGTAAAATATGTCCCAGATGTTTCGCCAGGGCCAGTGTCTTGGCTTTCCCTGATTACCACAAGGCAACTATTAGTCCTGTAACCTTTGGACTTGGGGGTAAATGGGGTATTACGTGGCACAGAATGAGAGCACCTGTTTTCCATTCAGCAAAGACCCCTGGCAGGCTTTGCCTAAGCCTATCCATATGTTTTCACTTAGCAGATTGTTGGGCGATTATGAAAAGTGTCTTTCTTTAGAGCCAACATTGATATTAGTCATTCACAATGAAAGGGCAAGTCATTGGCTACTTGACAAGGTCCGTGTGGGCATAAACTGAAGTCATTTATTTCATTTGAGCTTGGAGTGTTTTCTCTCAATATAATTATATAGATGATATAAGAAGTTGAAGCAGACAAAGCTATAATTACTTAACATAGTAGTTTTATAATAGCTTTTCTTTAGTGCGGACTTTAGCACCTTGAAAGACTTTGGTTAAAGTTGGTAAAAGCTAAGTCATGGTTTACCTAGATCCTCAGATCTTGAAGTTTTGTACATTATGACCTTTAGTATATTCTTATGTGTGGGAGTTCTTCCTCTTTATTAAAATAGCTAACCATTATTCAGCTGAGGGTTTGTGATCCCTGGACTTATTCCAGAATCCATTGTTGACACTTGCTAAGTCTAAATTTACATGGCTTTTTCTTAATTCAATTCTATAGTTTTCACAAAGGTAGAGAAGATGAGTTTTAAATGGTGAGTCTTAGGAATCATTTACTTGTTAATATTTTCACTTACCTGCATTATGCAGTAACATTATGTTAAGCTTGCTGGAGATGCAATTTTTCCCGAATTAAATGTTAGACATCACAGTGTGTTCTCAGTTCCCTTTGTTGTAGAGCATTTTTTTCCCACCATCAACCACAAAGTCACAAGTTGATCTGATTTTTGACCTGACACCAAATTCTTCCTTTGTGGTTAATAGAATATCTCAGTAAAGAAGGCTTAGCTTAATTACCTAGGAGAAGCTATCAACAAGCCATATAATAGTGTTTTTCACTATGTTATATATCATACAGTGGCCAATCTGCATAATCTAGACACAGCTAATTAATGGATATGAACTTTCATTTTGTAGCTTAAAAAGTTTAGGCATGCTTCCCATGGTGTGTCCTACCCTTATAATAGGATCCAGCTGCAATATCAGGAAGCAGAAGAGAGCATGCATGTTTTCCTCAGGAAAAAACCATGGATTCAAAGGCATGGCATTCTAGTAATGTTTATTAGTAGAAGATATTAAAATGTCCAAGTACTTATGCTCACATTGCTTCTCCTTTTTCTCCAGCCATTATGTCAGGGCTGCTGTGTATCAAGATAGCTAGATGCCGTGAATGAAACTTACCTGAGTTACTTCAAAATGCACAGATTGTTTGCTTTTATTCTTGAAACCCGTGTTTTCCAGTTTGATTCTCCAGGCCCTCAGCGTGTATATACCTCTTTGCATCTCAAATCAACTGTGAGGAAGAAAAAAGAGATAACTCTGATATATGATATGAGAGAAGGTTTTATTCTGACAATATGGCATTTTCTTATTCAATGAAATAACTGCATGGTGGGAAAACAGAGCAAAGCTCTGGAGGAAGGCAAGGGAAGAGAAGACAAAAAAAAGTTCTTTAAAGAAATCCCAAGTCATGTTTCACTAGAAAACCATTTTATTAGTTTATTAGTTTTCTATTGCTACATAACTCATTAGCACAGATTTAGAGGCTTAAAACAACACATTTATTAGCTGTCAGTTCAGTAGGTCAGAAATCCAGGCATGGTTCAAGTGGGTTCTCTGCTCAGAGTCACACACTCAAGGTATCAGGCAGGCCGAATTCTCATCTCAAGGCTCTACAGAAGAATTCACTTCCAAGCTCATTCAGTTTGTTCATAGAATTCAGTTCCCCGCGGTTAGAAGACCAGGCTCAAGCTTTCCAAGACTGAGCTGTTTGGAAGTCCATCACCCTTGTTCTCACTATCATTAAGAGAGAGAACCTTGGGAAGTACTACAAGCCCCAGTGTCTGTGGCCCAAGAAAGTCCGTGCCCTGCACCACATGCTCAACAGCACAAGGAGACCTGAGCACCCAGGATGGGCAGCGAAAGGTGACCCCGCACAGTACCCGGTGCGGAGTGCGCTGCCTAAACCAGCCCATCGGCATTCCTACACCGACCGGGCGAGGGCGTGGAGAGCTGCTCTATTGGCTTTGACGATGGAGGAAGGGGCCGCAAGCCAAGAATATGGGTGCCTCTGCAAGCTGGAAAATGCAAGGAAATAGGTTCTTCTCTAGATCCTCCAGAAAGAAATGCAGCCCTGCCCACATCTTGATTTTAGCCCCGTGAAACCCATTTCTGACTTCTGAATTTCAGAACTCTTAAGATAATAAATGTGTGTTGTTTAAGCCACTAGGTTGATGGTAATTCATCACAGCAGCAATAGGAACTAATACAGGGGCCTT